CCAATCGATTTGCCGATTTACAGTAGCTACTTTCTCCGATTTCCAATTTGATCCTTCGCATTGTGGCGCGACAACAGCGAGGTATGATGTATCGCGTGCACAGGATTTTCCGCGCGTAATGGATCTCGCGAGACTACTATACGTAAATCGAGTTCTCGTTTCGAGGGAGGTACGGCTTAATTGAATTTCGTTGACCACGATCGTGCGGTGACATTGTGCTTCAGCTGCCCGCTTTCGATAATTACAATCTCGCGATTGCGTGCGCATTCTAATCGGGTACTATTATCTCTGAACCTGAACGCGGCTTTGTGTGTGTGTTACAATTATTCTACCTCACTTCCAAGTTGATTAAATTGGAAATGATGGCGCAATTAACAGTTATTGGTACAGATAAATTCCCTACAAACCGAGCTATATATACCGAATGGAACAGATACAATATTCTCTCCCTGCTTAAGAAGCGCAATTCACGGCTGAAGGATGCGCTGGAGGTGAAAGGCACGACGAGGCTGACTACCAATTAAATCGTACCTTCAAGAGGACCGCCGAGAGACTACAGATAACTCGCGTGCGGCTTGTCCAAGGCGGATTTCTCGACGCGGCTCTATGAGCTTACGAAGTAGCCGCGTGGTTTTTGCGGCGCCCGTAGTTTTATGAGGCTAATTTATTAGCCGCCCGGACATGGAACATCACGGAACCGTTCTTCGGGCGGTTCTATCCTACGCGCGAGCGCGCGCGCTCCCCGGGAAGCGCAAGAAACCGCTCAATCTTCGTTCCAATCTTCCTAAAGTACAAGTGCTTCGATCCCTGAGATTTCTCCGCGTTGCTTTCTTGCCGAGAAAAGCCGAATACGGCGGCGACGTCGATATCTCGAAGGCGGAACAGCCAACGTCATACATCGCAAAATAATCATAAATAATCATAAGTTATTATTTGCACTTTTTTAAATTCAATTTTTGAAAAATGTATAGCTTTATATTATTTCAATTTTATTTATTTTCGCACAACTGGACATATCTGCAATTATCATTGTAACTCAATAAAATTGTACCTATACATTATTCCACATAACCATAATTATTTTTATTATCTTCGTCATTACGTCATTATTTTAGTCTTGAATTAACACAATGCAACATTTTAAAGAAATTTATGTATATACGCTTCTGTACACAAAGCGCTATATAAAAAACATATAATGCAAAAAACGTAAAATGCGATTGATGGAAACAAGTTGTCGACCAATGTATCTTCCGCTTCCCGATTGTCGCGTTGTTGTCGTTACTATCTTCGCCGCTACCTTCGCGAAGCGATGACAACCGGCAGAGACTATCTTATCGCGATCTACTATCGAAGCGACGCGTACTTACGTGTTTTATAGCCACATTACTGTTTCGTGCGTGCACGCACAGTATGCGCAGCACCGCTGCCGCCACTGGCCGGATCCCCTTGGCAATTCGACGATGTGACCAAGGGTATCATTAGAAATTCGTCTCACTTTTTGCGCGGATCAACGCCGGAGGCAACAAACGATTATGCAATCCGTCGCCTTCCTGGCTTATGCAAAATAATGTCCACTCTATGAGTGGGCATTTCATTACTCTCATAATTATTACGTAAATTACCGAATAATTATGCGGCGTTCAATCGAGAACCTGAACTAATGATACAGGTCTCGATAACTGGATTAAAAAAAACGAAGTAGTATTATTGATCGGCCATTACATCTTCGCTTTAATTCATTTTTTCCTTCGGGAAATTATGTCGACATTTCTATGTAATTTTATGCAACTTCGCGTACCAAAGAAAGAAGTTTTATATAATTATTATTGTGCATTAACATTTTATAAAAAGTGTAGCAGTTGCTTCCATTAAAATGTATATAACGTATTAATTTTTAATGTAAGATATAAACGCAAAAGAAAAAATATTAATTAATAACAAATTAAAATCAAAGCCATACGGTTCAAGCTTAGATCTTTGACAGCCTTATATTAATTTCCCTGTGTGTGTATGTGTGTGTACACACACACACACGCGCGCGCGCGCCAAAATTAATATGAGGCTGTCAAAGATCTAAGCTTGGACCATATGGCTTTGATTCTAATTTGTTATTAATTAATATATTTTCTCTCTGTAAATATGTATTACATATATATATATGTAACATATATATATATATATATATAAGTGAATAATAAAAAATGCCTATCTTCTTGTTCATAAATCTCGGAGCAATCTCAGTACGTGATAATATCAGATTTTATAACAGAATTAAAAACCGATGTAAAAATTACTATAAATGAGCAAACTTTTGCTATAATTTTTGCCAAATCAAAATGAGACACTAATATATTGATGACTTCCAAACTCTTTACTCAACTCGTGAAATAAAATATCTACTAAAGTTATCAGTAAAAGTTAAAAGCGTCGATATAACGAAGTGAAGGCAAAATTCACACGGTATGGTATTACGGCGCAATAAGTACACTTGAAATACGTTCGAAAAATTCAACGTGGAAAAGTGGAAGCACCATAGGAGGTAACATCGCGCTCGAAATGATCGTGAAATCGTATTACCGCGCGATAGTGAACGCATGAGCCGGCGTTTCCCGTTTCTATTCGGCGGCGCCGAGCTATATGCATCCACGAGATTAAGGCAGAAGGAGATCAACGGATAGCATGGCGAAGATATATATTGGTGGTCTACACGAAGGTTGAGACCCTGGTCCGAACGGTTGAAAGTCGAGACCCGCAGCCTTCAATCATTGTCAATCGGTTCGGACGGAGCACCGTTATGGTGTCTTCGTGCTATCGTCCCCCATGGGATACACCTACCATTCTTTGACAACATTCCTACGTCGCTACGCAGTCCCGTTCTCCGCGAATATTTGCGAGGGCACATCGCCGAGTTCATTAGTGTCATGTATTGCATACATTACACTTTGCTGAGTCTTCTAAAGAACAAACGAAATTGCTGCACTTGTTTAAAAAATGATTATATAAATATCTTCTACCTAATTGAACAAGATCTTTTACGATGTGTAGCGTACGAGTATCATCGCTTCCAATTAAAAATTTGATACATAATACTTTGTCATATTGAACCAGCAAAGCTTTCGTGCGAATAAACATCAGTCATCATCAGAAGATATTGTTGCAAGAAATAGAAATGTTTCAAGTACTATGCGGGGATATCTAATTTAGTTTGGATACAGTCTTCTCGTTTTACGAGACTGAACGACGTTTGTGTCCTCACTTATAATCGTAGACATACAGACAGAGAAGAAGACGCGCGACACAGAATACTGCCGCTCGCTGAGATTGCTCCGCTCGTAACCGACATTGATAAGTAGGATAAGTAAGATCGGGGACTGGAGTACGAGAGCGCGGAGGATGTTTGGTCCAAGCAAATAGATTTTATGAGCCTGGCTGTTCGCGTATGTAACAGTTAGCTCGGACGAAGTGCCTCTCCGTGGCACATTTTCGCTCGGTGCAGAACGACGATAAAGCGCAAGCGGACGGATAAGAAAAAAAGTGACAAGAGAGAAAGAGGACGGACGGGCGAGATACGAGGTGTAAATATTCGTACAGGGCGCGCGTGGGCGCCTGCCCCCCTAGTAAAGATACTAGACTGACAATGCAGGTGCGCGTCCAGGGCGAGAAATCTTTTTTGCGCCATCTTAAAAAATATCACCTGCAAGAGCATGTGCTCTATCATATTATCGAATTGTTCAGCTTATCGTTCCTTAGCTGCACGAGTAATATAGAACAGCAGCCGGCCGAGCAGTTTGCGAATTCTAAATCTTGTATAATCCGCTCTTACGTTTACTTTCTCATTTCTCGCGTGTTTGCTGTAGACTGTATGCCTCGCCGATAAATCGTGCGCAAATTTACCTCGCGTGAACGAGAAAGAAAAAGAACGAAATTGTAATCTATTCTTATTATACTCTTCACCGAAATCACAAGCTATTACGAAATCTCATTTTTAATACATATTAGAGAAACTTTAGAGGAATACACACGAGTTGCTGTTGAAAATTTATGTGTTTGTATTCCGAATCAATTTGGCTGAAGTACCAGCCGCATTGTTACGCAAATCGCCATGGCGTGGTTTATGTGACGTTATCTTATCGCGCGCAATAGAACAAACCGCGCACACTTTGAGTAGCAATCTCGTGCTAATGACGACGAGTTCAATTAAATTTAAACGATGGCTGAAACGACTGTCGGTGATCCAGCCCTCAAAGCGACATAACGAAAAAAACAACCCCGCCTTTAATATCTGTTCTCGCGGGCAACCCTTTACCCTCGAGAGAGCGAAAGGAGCACGTGGCCTACACGTGTTTAATTTCGGATTACGAGGGTACGGGATGTCTCGAGAGAGTATTCGCAGACGCACCCAACCGATTTCTTAAATCCGTGAGTGCGTTAATTAAGACCCCTCGAAAAGGGTTAAGGCAATTAAGAGAATAATCTTTCAAATAATCTAAATTTCAGCCACAGTGCATCATCCACAATTTGATCGAGAAGTTCTATTATATGCTTTATTCCTTGAATTTAAACAATTACTCAACAAAAATATTTAAGAAGATTAATAGATTACTATAAAAAAATGTATACATTAATATAATATAATATACCACTATATTCTCTTTATTTTCATAACTAAACTATATTAAAATAATTCAACTAGACTAAATAAAGCACCTTGTGAGCAAAATTGCACGAATGATAGGCCTCTCCATCTAATTTTACGACCCTCGATACCCGTAGTATTTTAAAAAGCAGAGTAACTGGAACTTTGTAATCATACTCACAAACAGGATCGCAGATATCTAACCGTACATGGAGAGCATGCGCCTGATTACTTTAATTGCTTCGCAGAATTATCTATCTGTGTAAGCAGCTTTCTTTAATTGCGTTCTTTTTTCATCGTACTGTGAACGTTTCAGGATAATACACTAATGGCACAATCATCACGTTATAAAGAAACTCACCGTTTCGGAGGCGGCGACATTCTTGACTTCCGCTAGCAGCGTTGCAGCAGGTGAGAGATAAGTCCGCACGAAATTTTCCAAGTTGCCATGATAAGCGCAAACTAGGATATCCCGTGCTTGTCTTATCAGAAGTTCCATAACACTGTCGCCATAAATCGGTCCGAGCAAATTCCGGACCAGGGAAGCGAAGTCTCCACGATTCTGTAGCACAGTAAAATGATTTCGCTGACTTTTGTACGAAAACTAATTTCAAGATTGCAATTGCGCGATAAACAATTAATTTTTGTCGCACATACGGATACAGCTGAACACCTTTGAAGAGCGTGAACACATATCGTACGTGAGACAATTATAATGTAAGAAATAGAGAGAAATTTCTTTCAATCAAGAATCTTTTCATAAATCTAATGTAAAAATTACCACGGCTCATTTTGTGGGCTACACACCGCAACATTAATCACACGTTTTCAACACATGTCCAGACACCGGAAGCAATCGAGACGGAAGGGATCGAGCAGTTTCGCGGATCTATTCACATCGCTACGGAATCACGGCGGCCACACGCAAAATCTGTTACTGGCAGTTATCCCCCTCGACGCGAGGGTAAACAAGGGGAATGTGATTTGGGCTCTGTGACAAAAGCTGGCAGAATCTCTGACCAGGGGTGCAGCAACACCCACGGGAGAGAAACGTCAATATTCCTCCCGAGCGCATCGCTTAAACCAATACCGGTTAGAACATTATTTCTGAAGCGCATCTGTGCAAAATCGTATCAGCTGCGTATAGTGCTTGATATCCTTAACTTGCCAATGCAAACAGCGTGAAATAAACCAATAGCTTTTGGACACTCTCGTGGTTATATATAATGTAACAATAGTTTATTATAAATTCTGGCAATGTCTGAATGGACTATATGATAACAAATGCTTATCCTTAATTGCTTATGTTTTTATAAAAAATGTTTTTCTCATCTCTTTTTTTTCCAAAAAATTACTTAAAAATTTAATCCATTATTAAATCAATTTTTGAATTACTTTAACAAGTAATGAGATCTCTTTTCTTCCGTATCGTGCATTTTGAAAATAGTTATCTTCAATTACCTATTTATCTAATATTTATCTAATATTATATACCATAACAATACATTTACATATTTAACTTTTCAAGACTCCAAAATGTTCGATAATTCGATAAGATCGATATAATTCCGGCGCAACCTAGAACTCCATAAATAGATACACGTTTCGAACGAAATTCCAATTTAAACGACCAATTCTTCGCATACCTCCGATAAAAGCGACGCAATCTCTTTTGCGAAACGTCGATATTGCGCCATTGGCGCAATTTGCCCTAGCTTTCCCATCGAGATTCGAATACCAACGTGAACAAGTGGCTGTGTCGTCTTGCGCCCGATGTGGGTGCATTATATCGAGCCGCATCACCGCCTCGGAGTGCATAAACATTGAGGTTTAGCGAGGGCATACGAGAAACGGGGGAGGAGGGGAAAACGACGCGCGGTGTAACCATTATATGTGCGCCCGATCGCCCACGTATTTCCGCCCTCATGGTGCGTGCGGATGGTCGACCGCAACGCGATCGGCGGAGTGTTGAGAGCGCGCGAGACTTGTCTTTTCGGAGAAACGCACACCACCGTCGAGGGTTTCACGTGGGATCTGGGTGATCGAGAGCGAAACCGGATGTGGCGAGTATGTGCGACGCATACAAAAAATGCGACTATACAGTGTACGCGACTACGACCGCGTATATAGTGCTCTTAACAATGTTCTTTATTGAAATTCAAGTAAAATTTACTTCGGCAAAACTGTATTCTAAACCTCATTTATTAAAATAATTAATATTAAAAATTAAGGAATTGGCAAAAAGATGGAATTTCAAAAAGCATTTGCTTAAAATTAGGCTTAAAATTAGTTGATCAATAAATGAATGATGAATTAATAAATAATTTTCTGAGATATTTTCTGTACATGTACAATAATTTGAATATCATTTTTAATATAAAAAATGTATCATAAATGTTGATCTACAAAATTTATACATTGTGAGATTTAGATCAGATCATGCAAGAGATATTCATAAAATTAAAGTTTTAAAAACAAAAACTAAATAATATTTTAGCAATAAAAAATATTATTATATGTATTATTTCGCGTTAGTATATCATAAATAAAAAAAATCACTATCTGGGGTTATAATTACTTCGGGAAGAAATACTATCGATAATTCTTGTTCTGTCACGTAGTGCCATCCCACGGGGTGTGCCGATCATAATAACAGGCCGACACGAGTCAGTACCAATATTTGACCACCTGAAATTTATGGGAAAAGGGTAAGTCGGCATTGTGCATAAAGGGCTCGTTAGGGGAGGCGCGCATCTCCCGCAGGGGATTCGTAGGGATGAAAACGGACACGTAGTCTGGGCTGTCTGGGTCCGCATATAAATTAACCGCGATTCACGTGGCGGCGGTTTTAATCATCTACCTTATGGGCACATGTTGTTTATTAATGTATTTACTCGTATGAATAGACAAACTGTGATTTACTATCACATATTCACGTGTCAATGCGAAGCGGTCTACAATGAGTGAAGGGTTTAACGTCTTTTCTCGAAGAATAGAATCCACACAGAGCAGGAAAACTACTACAATAAAACTAAAATTTTATAATATATATATATATCTGCTCCCATAAATCTCTATAAATTATTCAAAAATTATATGTCAGAAGACTATATTGTAAAAATAATAATTGTAATTAATTATCAGTAAATTATTTTATTTTTATTATTAGAAACAGAAATTTAATGGATTCCTTTCGAAACTATTGAGAAACATACATTTAAAAACCAAACGTAAAGCATCTTATTTTGTATGTAATATGTACATCGTGCAAAAGTATAAAAAAGAGATCAAGAATTAATAAATCCAACAACAAAAATGCATCTTTCCGCGTTATGTCAAGCACTATGTCAGAGATATTTGTTCCCTATGCTTTGTGTGCACTTGAGCCAATGCGATGAAAGATAAAGCGTTTCGTCCGTGAAATTAGAATCACGCTTTTACACCGAGGTAGGTCTTGATTAGTCTCTTTGTTTAGTAGCCCGCCTTGCATAATAGCGCCACTGCTCGTGAGCTCATCGCGGCAATTTGCATTTTGATCGACGGAATCTCATTTCACAGCTGCAAAGCTATATATGGGAGACTTTAGGCAAGAATATTTTAAAATACAGATCGGGGTTGAAGAGAAGAAATGAAAAACGAAATAATATGCACCAATGAATTAAACAAGCATTGTAGAATTTCAAAAACAATATAGAAGGATTTTAGAATAATAATATAAATAAAAGTATATATTATAAAATGTAAATAATGTAATGTAAATAAAAATTACTTTGATTAAATTTTGTGGAAATTTACATCGAATGTAATAAAAATAAAACAATAAAGATTTTTCAAATATTTAAAAATTTCTAATTAAAGTATTTTTAAACTTCTAATTAAATTCGATTTATCACATAATGCTCGACATGAAATTCAGAATCATAAAAGACTACACTTTGGAAATATAAAAAAATGCATATAACAATGATAATAAAAAATCAAGATTAAGCATATTAATTATATCTAAGTTTTATGTAGGTATATGTTACCAAGGGGATTTCTGATGGGAATAGTGCTAAAATGAATAGGTAATGCGACAGTTGATTAAATTTTGACGTAGTTAAGCGTATTTAGTCTGTGAAAGGGTCCGTGACTATTCTCCCTAGAATATTGATCAAGTCTCTCAGTTCCCCATTACATTACGCGTGTCGAATTTCAAATTAACCCAGACGCATGTCAAATTCGTCTCGTGCACACGCTTACAGCGCGTTTACTTGTTTAGTCAGCTTCCAAATTTCCCACCGTTTTGCGTACCCATCCCCGATCCCCGATGATCTATTGCAAGAGGATTTGTTGCTCAAACACACGCCTTGGAAAAAAAAACTTTTCAACATATATGTTCTTTAAGACGTATTATAGAGGATATATTTGAAATTTATACATTGCATGACATTAAAGTCTCTTTTGTTAGAATGTTACAAATCAGAAATTACTACACTCCTTCGAACATGTTAAATTAATTCGCAACGCGAAACCATTGCGGTACTTTACGTACCCAAAGATTCAACCAGGATTAAGAAAGTGGTACATGCATGTTACGAAATATTAAGAACCGCCTGGCGTGGGGCAACTCTCGACGATATTTTCTCGACCGTGTCTGTCGACCGCCCATACAGCCAGCCATGTATTCCCGCGAGCGCGGTATACGCGCCGCGACGCGACGTCCCGATAATTATCGAAAAATGCGCGAGGGGGTCGGCCGTCATTAATTAAATAGCCGCACGAATACGGGGGAAACCTATCGGAAGCGAAGCGGCTGCGCGCCGTTACACAATACACCAGAAGCAACCGCAATATCCATCAATGCTACGCTCTGTTCGGAGCCACGGATAATGCAACGGACCACCGTTGCGAGCCGTTAGAGAGAGATTCGCGAAAGGGAGGCTGAGTCCGCGCGAGAGAGAGACGGAGAAAAGGGAGAGAAAGAGAAGAAGCTGGGAGAGGTACGCAGCATGGAAACGGGCATTAATCAATCCGCGCACGTGGAAAGCAGCGGCGGTTTAGCGGGACGGAGCGGTGCCTCACTTGGCTTAATAAAGTTGCAAATCGTTTCTGCGCATGTACACGTGATTAGACGCGTGACACGCGTTACGCTATCCGCGTGCATATCTATAAGAAGACCGTTTACGCCCGTTTAAAAAGCACCACGTGTCTGTCCGTCACGTTCTCCATCGTAGCAACATTCTCTCCATACGAGTGTACCGTGATACGTGAAACGCCTCTTGGTACTTCTTAAATGTCCGCCAATTAAAAGATCGGCCTACTGCGCGTCATAAAAGTAGATAAGGAGCTTGATATGATCATTTCTCGGATTAGACTTTAACATCGAACGATTTATTCACATATATTCGCAATTTTTTCGCAATTTATCGCGCGATTTTCAGCAATTTAAAGTGTTATAACTGTAATTGTGCAACAATAATTTAATTTAATGCATCTTGTGATTCAGATTACAAGGATAAACGTTAATGTGCTTATCGTATATATAAAATACCAAACAATATAACTCATTATTTATAAAGA